CTAATGAATCTTTGATAATTCTTTACATTAATATTCTTATTTTTTAATATATGTTTCAGGAAATTAGATTGTAATTTATAAACGCGTATAAATTTTATTAAAAATTTTTATTAAACATTATTTTTTAAAATTCATTAAATTTATTCTTTTTCCACCTCAACCTGAACTGGTGTACATTGGGAGAATAAGTTACTACGAGAGAAATTGTTTTATAAGTATAACCAAAATTTTTTTGATATGTGAAAAACTTCCCTACCTTTTCATTTAAGAATTATGTTGTCTCAATCAAAATTTAGTTATTTTAACTAAAATTTGATTATCCTAAATTTAATAGCCAAAATTTGGTCAGAATAATCAAAAATTTGGTTAAAATAACAAAAACTTTGTTGTCATAACCAAATTTTGCTGGGATGACACAAAATTTAAATAAAAAGGTAAGAAAGTTTTTGTTAATCACATATAAACAAAATTTTGATTGTACGTACAAAACGATTTTTCAGTACAGAATGAGGCAGATATAGTTTGACTTTATTTTAACTTATTGCACTAGTTCAGAACTAGTTCAGAATTCTTCAAAAAAGAACAGACCTATTATTGCCTTTATTAAGAGTGCATTAATGCTTAAGGAGCAGATTACCATCCTGCACAGGGAGAAACTACAATTGCAGAAAGAGAGCGAGTTGCCAAAAAGATACTAAAGGGCGACACGAAAAGGGCCAAGGCTGATAAGACCAAGCCCAAAGCCGCTAAGCCCTAGTGGAAGAAGTGGCAGCCCCATTAAAAACCGCGAAAGCTTCGTCGTCTACAAACAGACAGACGATGGAGCTGTGAACAACCGTACTGGGCAGGAAAAAGAGGGGAAGGAAGTAGCCAAGGCTGCCGAAAAACTGGCAAAGGCTAAGTAGCAGCCCCTCTCTAAGAAGACGGAGGCGGTGAACAAACGTTGCGTGCTGCCCATGATCAGATCGGTCAAGATCGCGGTGGTCACATTGACTGTTCCCGCTGGCAGCCTCAGAGAAACTATGTTCCTGGTTAGGGGACAAATTAGGCTCAAGGATCTAGAGATAGAGGAGATGAAGGCCAGATGGGCTGTCATAGGGTCTCTTGTACTAGAGATCAAGAGTCCCGACGGCAACGTTAAAGCCAACCGCCTGGCCTCACGAATGGAGGAAGTTCTCCGAAAAAGAGAGAGGGTGAAAGGTCTCGAGGCCCATAAAAAGAGCGGAGCTCTGCGTCATGGGCCTCGACGACTCTGTCCCCGGAAGATATAGCAGTGGCGATATCCCATCTGGGCGACTGCCCAGCGGGAGAAATCAAGGTGGGCCCAATCGGCCGTATCTCCAGTGGAATAGGGGCGGCCTGAGTGCAATACCCTGTCATGACGGCCAAAAGCGCTACGGACGGCAAACTAAGGGTCGGCTGGATGGTGATCCGCGTAACGCTCTTATCTGCCCGCCCCCTTCAGTGCTTCCGTTGCCTCGGCGTGGGCATAAAAGCAAATTACAGCAACCCGACAGATTGTACGGGCTGCTGCTATCAGTGTAGATAGCAGTGATACACGGGAGTGCAAAAACCCTGCCCACTGCCCGGCATGTGAGAGGGCCAATAAACACGGCGCAGCACAGCACTGAGATAATCGGCTGCCTGACCGGCAAAGGTAGAAAGAGAGAAACAATAATAAATGGGGGGGGAGAAGGTACAACTCAGTGAGTTCTCACCAGTACATAACACGAAGAAACTGTTCAAATATCAACTATTGGCGGTAAACTAGCATCGCTCGTGCGATCAAATATGGCACAGACGGCTGTATCAACGGAAGGTGGAGGAGGCCGGAGAGCTGTAACATTCACGGCGACACACCTCTTCATCATTATGCCGCGTACACATTCTAACGTTGAATATGTTGACATGATTTTCGTGTATGGCTTTTGTGATGGTAATGCTACGGAGATGATGAGAGAGTATACACACCGATTTTGATGTCAGCATATTCAACATCAAAATATGTACCCAGCAATATTGTGACAGAAGTAATCCATTTGATAACATCTGACGAGTAACTATAGGAGAAAAGCAGAAATGTAAACAAACAAGGAAAGTTTTCATATGAGAACGGAATTATTATTACTATTATTATTTTCGTGTACGATTTTAGTGACGACAATATTTCAGAGACAATGCAAGAACAAAGCAAATATGTTTTACCATCTTTGTGACTTTCCTCCAAAACGAAGTAAAAACGAGCATCTCTATAGAATTTTTTTTTTCTTAGTTTATCAATCCTCTATACACTACTGAAGTTTTGACATTTATATTCCAGATATCCTGTGTATAATGATTCTACTCTATTTATCCTTACTACATATGACATCCAATACGTGCGCGTATCTAATCGTGCGTGTGCCTAATCGTGCACATGTCCAATCGTGCGCGTGTTCAATCGTGCCGCGTATAATCATGCGCGTATCCAATCTTTTCGTGTCCAATCGTGCACGTGTTCAATCATGACGTGTCCAATCTTGCTGTGTTCAATCGTGCCGTGTCGAATCATGTACGTGCCTAATCGTACGCATGTTCAATCGTGTCGCTTATCTCCATATTGAAGAGGGGGGGGACTATTATGATAGAATAAGGAGCCATCGACGTTCACACCTGCTACCTCCGACCGGGGCTGTCCATTGCGGAATACGAAGCCGCACTGGAGGAATACTACATGGGCTGAAAAGTCTCGGGATTTTTAATGAAAACAAGCGTTTTTTGTGCTAAGTTATATTTATTCCTCAACATAGTTGCCTTGCGATATACTTGGTATAGCGATTTTCCAACATTTCGATGCTCTTTCTGTAGTACGAAACGTCCAAGCCTTCGCAATACGCCTCGGTTTCCGCGATGACTTCCTCATTCGATGTGAATCTCTTTCCCGGGAGCCACCGCTTGAGGTTTGGAAACAGATAATAGTTGCTGGGGGTCAAGTCTGGAGAATACGGTGGGTGAGCAACCAATTCGAATCGTAATTTGTCCAATTTGACCATGGCTTTCAAGGACGTGTGTGACGATGCGTTATCGGGATGGAACAGAACTTTTTTCTTCGTCATATGGGTCCGTTGTTTTCTTTATTTCGTCGTTCAGTTTGTCCAATAATGCTGCATAATACTCTCCCGTAATTGTTCTTCCCTTCTGCAGGTAATCGATGAAGATTATGCCATGCGCATCCCAAAAAACGGAGATCATAACCTTCCCGGTCGAGTGTTGGTCTTTTGGCCACTTTAGTCGGCTTTCGTGGCTTTTCAGCCACTCTGCAGACTGCCTATTGGTCTCAGGCGTATCGTAATGGACCCACATTTCATCCATCATCACAAAACGTCGAAAAAAGTCCGCTCGATTACGCTGCAACAACGCCAACCCGCCCGATGAATCATCAACGCGCTGCTGTTTTTGGTCGATGGTCAGCTAATGCGGCACCCATCGTGCCGATAGCTTTTTCATCTCCAAAACAGCGTGCAAAATGTATCCCGCCCGTTCTTTTGAGATGCCCACGGCCTCAGTTAACTCGCGCAACTTCACTTTACGATCACTCAAAACGATTCGATGCACTTGCTTTGCGATTTCCGCATTTGTAGCCTCTTTCGGCCTTCCACAGCAAGGTGCGCCTTCGGTACTTGTACAACCCATTTTAAATTCACTAAACCACCGATAAACTGTTGTTCTCGAAGGAGCAGATGTGGGATAACATTTCTGCAACCATTTCAATGATTGTTCAGAAGTTTTTCCCATCAAAAAACAATGTTTGATCAAGATGCGATATTCCTGTTTTTCCATTTTTTTTACGAAGGCGAAAGTAAGGCCACTTAAACGACTGTAGCTTGTAAACGAATGAACGAAATGTCATGAAACTTCATACATAAACTAGTGACAGATGAACCTCTCGAAATGAATCATGTTCATTTTCTAGCACCACCTATTAAAAAATCTCGGGACTTTTCAGCCCATATGGCGGCGCGGGGGTGCTCGCTATGTTCGGCCCTGATGGCGGGGGACTTCAATGCTTACGCCGAGCTGTGGTTCCCCAAGACCAATTCAAGAGATCAGGCCGTTGGGGCGATCTCAACACTAGACTTACCATCGTTGAAATTCTCCACTTTATTATCATACGTTTTCACACTTTCTTTTCACACACATGATAAATTTACTTTTCTAATTCACATGTTTTATTCGCAAATTTTCTGTAAAAATCAATACTTCTTTGGATATTGTTTCTTAGCATCACAGATTTTTATTTTCATAAATACATTTATTCATTTCTTGTCTGTAACTTGCGCAGAGTACATCTTATATAAAGTCCCCGAATAAAATTTTATACTTAAAAGCTAAATAGACTAGTCATTGTGTACAGGGTGGGCCATCTATTGGTACGTTTTTGAATTTCGTCGTATGGCAACACCGAACGAGCTACAGACCCGAAATTTTGACAGTTTATTAGTCATACCGTCCGCGGCACGAAACAACATGTTTTCTCTTGAAGAGCGTTTTGAAATTTTAAAAACTTATTTTCAAAGTCAGTGCTGTGTCGCCGAAACTGTACGAATTTTGAAAAGAAATATAGGTCGTGATAGAGCACCCACCGAAGGAGCTATACGCAAATTGGTGAGGAAAGTTCGTGAGAAAGGGATGTTAGTGGATGACATTATATTACGACTGTTTTGAGTGAAATTGGCGCCGAGGTAGTCCAAAATGTCATTAATAATTGGGGTGACCGAATGGCATACTGTAAGGCCAGTAGAGGGAGCCACATGAACGAAATCGTTTTTCATTCTTGACGCGAATACTTTTAGCTTCACAACAACAAAAAAATTAATAAAAAATATCAATGTATGCTCATTTGATCGCATTTTTAAAAACGTACCAATAGATGGCCCACCCTGTAGTAACAAATCCATATCATCGAGAATTGAAATCTCTCGGCCTCTCCTTTGTCAACAGAAATCGGTCTATCTTTGTAGGTGACTGCGTTGAATCCATTGTAGATCTAATATGGATTTCATCCCGCGCCGCCCCGAAGGTCAATGAATGGGAAGTCAACTCCTGTGGCGCAGTCCGTCCATGAATGCATCGTGATGCGCGGACACCGAAGCCGAAAGGAGACGAGAGCGGCAGGACGCGCTACACCCGCGAACTGGACAGGGACATGCTCCAGTTCAATGATGGCTGCCAAGAATTAGACCTCCGCAGATCCACGATGATAGCAATGTGATAGCAGAGATGGAGTAGCTCCGGGAAAACACACATCTGCAACGCGTGCATGCTCCGAAGCCACAGGAAACTCTGCCGGTTCATTTTGGTGGTCGCCGGAAATTGTCGATGAATAGGCGCCTTCTTCGTGAATTCATAGATCCAGCTGAGGCGTCACGAAGAAGAAAAGGTACAGGCGGCGCAGGAAGCCCTCCGAGCGGCACGGGAGGCCCTGCGAGTTGTAGTGTCAATCGCACGATGTTCATCGCACGATGATTGTGCGCATGTCTAATCGTGCACGTGTCCAATCGTGTTCAATCGTGGTCAAGTCGTAAAGGGAGACCAAGACCCACAACTGGGAGAAGCTGGTCTCGGACCTCGATAGGAATCCATGGGAGCGCCTGTACAAAATTGTAATGAAGAAAACAAGACCCTAGGCGCCCCCGCTAACGGAGTGTATGGATCCTGAGAACAGTGAACGTCCTCTTTCCAATCGGGGAACAAGGCTTCCGACCATACGCGAATCCGTCTGTCGGATGGACCGAGGAAAATGAGGTTTTCGAGTCCGAGATGGCCGTGATATTCTGTAGACTTGGGAGCAGACCAAAAGCCCCCGAACCCGGCAGAGTACACGGCCGAGTGTGGGCCATCGAAGGTTGCCGAAAACTTTGGTGGTCGTTTTTTCTGAGACAGTTTTTCAACAGCTGCCTCCAGCAGGATATCCCTCTCCCTCTCAGTAGAAGACGGCTTTAGTGATGCTTTTCCAGAAGGAGAATAAACCAGCGGAGAACCCGTCTACGTATGCCTGGACGACGCAAGCAAGATGGACGCGCATGCTCGAGCGTGTTATCGCTCGTCGTATCATCACCTGAGCCGCAATATGGATTCAGCGAAGGACATTCTACAGGGCGATAAGACAAGTGAGGACTCTCGCGGGAGAGACCCTGTCTCACCATGGTTGCAGAAGAGAGAGAGGGTTATGGAGATATTCCTGGATATTGTCAAGGCATTAAACACCCTCCCTTGGGACCAGATGGCTCTTGCCTATCACGACATGCCGCTCTACTTGATCGCCATTATTGAAGATTGTTTTTGGTACAGATGGCTGGAATTTCGCGACAGAGGTGAACTCCAGCATAGACGAGAGATGTCATGCGGTGTCCCGCAGAGGTCAGTGTTGAGCCTCCTATTATTGATTGAACTCGAACAACCGTTCGCGCACAGAATTCGATTTCCTTAGATAAATGAGCGTTGCCGACACAGCACTTCTTTTGTTATCATCATAGCAACGAAGCGATTATTATTTTTGCGAAATATGATGAAGCCGAGTCTTCGCTGCGATAATATTCTTGACAACAGTTATCGTAAGGCCGAATCCTCTCATATTATTATTGAAATAGTCTAATCTATATAATAAGCGTGAACTTCCAATAAAATATTATATTTAATATTTGGTACCTCCTGTAAAGTCGTCTACGACAAAGGTGGACGACGAATGAACGGACAAAACTACAATTTACTAGCTCAACTTACTACGTGTGCGACAGGATATCAGGCGTAGCTAAGGACGGATTACACGGCAAAGAACAGATTAAGACAAATACATTTCACGTATTCATAAAATTGCCGATCAAGCATTTTTCCTTCACCTCGTATTATTTTCGTCACATCATGGTCGATAAAATTAGGCTTCTTATTCAAAAACGGACATTTATAAAATCGCAAATAACGAATTTGACAAATTTAATCGATAAAGGATGATACGATATAACCTCGTTAAAGTTACGGATAATTCGACTTACAGAGCTATCACGCATACGAAGAGTTTAATGACGAATTTATTCTATTAGATTCTAACGATAGTCACCAAGACAAGTTCACGCATTACAAAAAAGGTTCTATCCGCTCGCCAGTAAAATCAAAAATATTATCAATCTCATCGCATCTATCGCAGTCACCGGTTTGTCGAATGCCATAACCTCTTCACTCATCGATAATACGAGTACGATGATCGAAACAACGCAATAAAGTTTCTTACTCATTACTCAGCTTCAATATGAAAATTGGTTAACATTTAAAAATATCTTTCTCGCGCTGATAGATACACGAATGGATTTAGCGAAAATAGAAAAACTTCAATATCTAAAATCCGCGTTAAAAGGCAACGCAGCCAATAAAATAAAATTCCTAATGATCAAAGATTCAAGTTACTGTAAGGCATGGGAATTGCTGACATGCGCATACGAAGTGAAACGAATACTAATTTTGCGTCACTTTTCGCTGCTTATAAAGTTACTCATCTTAGAAAAGGACATCTAAACTCGCAGAAGAAGCAGCATGTTGCTTCTTTAGCCGCGTTAGGAGTAAATGTGAGTTTCGAAATTCTTACAAATCTATCAGAAAGCAAAATACCAAAAAATACGGCGGAAAAATGAGAAAAAACATACACTTACTCGAGACGATTTCCCTAAGATTGACAATTTATATGAATTTTTGTATAAAACCGCAGTTCGTGTTTCTAAACGCATCCGTACAGAGGTATCCAAGCGAGATGATGAAAGGAATTCTCCGGCTTGTAAAAAGGCACGGATCTAATAAACGGTACGGCCAATAACTGCGCGGTCTGCAAAAATAAGCAGCATCCTTTGTTCAAATGTGACAAATTCAAGCAATTGTACTAAAGCGTATCGAAGTCGTGAGAGGCGCGGCGCTATGTTATAATGCGTTCACATTTAGGCAAGGCGTGTAACTACACGAACTACGTGGTCTGTCAAAAGTAGCATAACATACCACTTTTACATTTAGAAAAAAAATCGGTTTCAGAAAAAAGAGCCGACACAATCGAACTTAAAACAAATAAAGGCGAATACCTAACAGAAAAAGACGATCGATAAAACGATCGAGTGGCGATTTCACCCACCTTCATTCCTCAATTGCTAACGATCGCGATGGTAGTTGTGCGGGATCGCAGGAGCAATGGAATGTTGTGCGTTATTAGACACGTGCGCTACCGCTAACTTGGTAAGAATCTTGCAAGATTTAAACTTTTTATAACTACGATACCGATTTTGACAGGTATTCTAGCGGTTTTGCAGTCGGCCGTCGCCGTTGGCCTCTACTGCTCATTGTGCGCTAGTAGGATAGCTCAGAAATTGGTACGAAGAAGAAAGAGGAGCAAGTTGTTGATATGTACAAAGTGTATTTACAGCTATTTATAGTGCTTTGACAAAAGCGGTATGGTGTACATGTGTGGCCTTAAAAAGACCGTTTGGTTTGTATTAACGACCGACGCGTTCGCGGTAGCTGATGGAAGTTGTGCTATGCGTCCACTTCAATGGAGATACTAGCTCCTTGTTGTTGTTCTCGTCCACCAATATGAGGGAGACACATTTCCGCAGCGCCGGCGGAGTTCCTAGCGGCGTGTGTGGGCCCGTGGGCCTATCGACGGCGGTGTCCTCCAGTCCGCTTTGCTGGTTTGTGTCTCGACTGTCGCCTTCTTCAGCAGGGGGGCTGCAGACAACACCACAACTACGACGTTGGCGGTAGCGGCGAAACCTCCGGCGGTATCTCTATCAGTCAGTGACTGCGCTGGCGTTAGCTGTCCGACATGCTGATGTGAGATGTCCAGCGGGTGGAATGTTCATATCCTCTAGTAGGCATAGTCCCGCAGTATCCGTTCGCGCTGGTCGAGCTGGGTGGCGTTGACTTTGGTGACTCCACTGTTGTTGGTCCTTACGGTGTCTCCTCTGCTGCTCTCAGAGTCGCCGTGACTGCTGGGCTGCTGTCGTTGCCCCTTTACGGTGGCCGCTCCTCTGCTGATGAACCTTGGCTAGCCTGGTCAGCTGTCGAAGCTTGGCGTGGTTAAGGTTCATGTAGATCTCCTCTCGGATGCACCGTGAGCCATGCGGTGTCGCTCCTCAATTCCGTGGGCCTTATATGGCTCGTCGGGTTTTTCTCGCGTACGGGTCCGTGGTTGTCGCGCCAGCCCTCTGAGAACTGTGTCGCAGTACTCGCGGTCCGCGTCTCGCGAACACTTGCGAGAAAGTTCATTTTAGCGCGCTTGCGCGCTCGTTGTGTATATGCAGTTAGGTGTTATGTTGACGCTTGTAGCCACCACACCGAACACTACGACTATGAGCACAATATCAAGATGCGTATTGTGTTGTTCGTATTAGTGTTCAGTCGCTACACAGCGAATTCTCTAAAGAATTAACATGTATTTTGATTCCGGTGATTTTTGATTTTGTTCCATCTGAAGTTTCCCCGCGAGATTCCGTCGAGATACCGAACAACATTTTATTAACCGACCCAGACTTTCATATTCTACGTGCAGTTGATCTATTGATCGACGCCGGCGCAACACTATCATTATTTACAATCAATTTATTTAGAAATGATTCGGATATCTATATTTACAAAAAACACAACTCGGCTGGGTCATCGCAAGTGGAAACGCAATTAGATATCATCCAAGGAACACCGTATGTTCGTTAACTAATTTGGATTTAGAACAGCAAATTTCTAAGTCAATGATAGTTTTATAATGCTTATCGCATGTAATTATTATCTAATTTCGACTTCTTTTACGACATTTTTCCAACAATTTTATTAATGTAATTAAAATGCAATCCGATATTAAAGGGGTCAATATTTATTTTAATTTCATTATTCTACAATATTTTATAATTTAATGAATGATTAGCATATTTAAAGTATGTGAAAGGTAAAGAGATAGTGTAGTAGAGGGGAAAAGTAGAAGAAGAGAAAAGAAGAAGGAACGTGTTTTTAAATGTGTGAATACATCCAGTCAATGTCCGTTTCGTGCATAAAACGCTGCTCTTGCTTGTCTTCTATACGCGACCCGTGATACTCTAACTATTTCTTCGAGAATTTGAAAACTAAGAATCTAACAAAATTTTCGTAAAAGAAAAACCGTCTTAGAATTCTGTCAGGATTCTGTCAGGAATACATTTCTTCAGGGATACCTGGGTTGTTCTGAATCATCTTATATATATATGTATATATACATATATATGTAAATATACTGTTGCATTCGTTGTGTGTTATCTGCTTCGCGCAACCGTTCCATCAGCCCGAGTAAATGCGCAATCTCAAATCGCGGAAATAACGACACGTGAAGAAAAAGTATAAAAGACTCTTTATTAAAAAACTCGCACAAAAGCAAGAGTACGGCAATTATATTCGAGAAAGAAGTGAGCTCGCACAAACGCTCGAAACTCAAAACAAATTCAGACGACCCGCATCTCCTTAGAAACCTGTCAACCCGTCTCGCTCGTGATACGATTCAGCGCGCAGAATATTGATGTAGCGCGGGGATAATAACACTGCTCTCTCTTTCCTTTAGATTGTCGTCTCGACAATTATAACCTCAGCGTCTGACATCCTCAGATGGCTCCTCGCTCTATTCTGCGCTGTTGCACAGATTACCGAACTTCCGTCTCACGATCAGCGCCTATGAGAGGCTTCCGAGAAGGACTTTTCTTTCTCCTTTCAACAGCTTCCCCAGAGTCAGATTCTAAGTGCCTTCCAGAGTTCTCTATACTTTTCTTAATTCCTTTTTTGAAGCTTTTGAATCCTTATTACTTCTTTTTTCGGACAGGAGAGAGGGATTTTACCGCAATACTTCTGCCCCTAGTCCCCGCCTCGGCATTTGCCCTTTTCCTGTGAAAAAAATCACGATTCAAAAGCCGCGGGCGAGACGTGGACTTCTTAAAAAAAGAGTAAAAAAAAAGATCTAATAGTTTTTGTTCTCAATATCCCTTTCCTTTAGGCCAGTAATCCCGATGGTTCTTCTACCGCTGCCAGAATAAAACTTTTCTATCCTAGCAAGCTCTAATTTTCTACCCGCACTAGACTCTGTGATTAAAAAGAAATAAACGCAGTAATTGATCTAAACGTAAATAATTAGCTCATAAATAGGAAGGCAAGTCAATAAGTTCTTGGAAAATCTGTCAGAGGGCACTCGCAATGTCATGTCATATTACTTTTCGACAAGTAGCAGCTTTCAGCTGATTATTATCAAATTTTAAGCGGAATTCATCGCGTAGTTTCATTTCTGTAGACGATTAAAACGAACAACCTTTGTATTTTTTGCAAAATGGAAAACAACGAATTTTGTGCAGTGATCAAACATTTACATATGAAAGGATTAACGCCAAAAGAAATCAAAGCCGAGTTGGATAATGTTCACAGTACATCTGCACCAGCGTTTGTGACTGTATACAATTGGGTGAATTTAAATGTGGTCGTACATCCATATGTGATGCACCTCATTCGGGATGTCTAATTGAGGCTGCTACAGAAATCATCAATAAAGTTCACGATATTTATTTTGACTGATCGACGAGTGAAAGTGCGCGAGCTTGTTGAAGTCACAGGCACAGTGATTTCAATTTTGCACGAACAATTGGATATAAAAAAGCTATCGGCAAGATAGGTGCCGCATTTGCTCACTGTGGACATAAGCGTGACCGTGTAATGATTTCAAAACAATGTTTGAAGATGTTTCAACGTAATCTAAATGAATTTCTGCGTCGATTCATTACTGTGGACGAAACATGGATCCATTACTTCACACCCGAGACGAAGAAACAGTCAAAACAATGCACTTCACCGAGTGAGCCAGCTCCGAAGAAGGCGAAGACCATAAAGTCGGCCGGAAAG